GGCGTCGTGTTCATTATTTATCAGAGAAATAAGAGAAAGCTGTGACACGGATATACACGGAATTGTAATCAAAACCCGTCACTTGAAATAATTTAATAAGTAAATAAATGTAAGCAATGTATTAACACAACTGTAGAATAACTCTTTCAATAAATAAAAACGAAAACACATAATTTCTTGGACTTGCAAATATGAAATATCTCCGGACACAAAAACTGGATATTAACGACACAACACGTATTAAAACTTTAAGTAAACTGAAATTGTAAGTAGCTTTTATTTGGAATTGTCAAAGTAACAACAGCCGGGAAGGTTTAGTTATCAGTAATACATTTATGATTACTTCTAGTAAACAATGACAAAAGTTTTACGTTCAATATTTTTTTTTATGGCTTTTATTTGTGCCTACTGGGCACAAGGTACTTCGCCAGTGTCGTGTAGATGGAGAATGCACGAAGGAGATTGATCGGTGAAAATAATAATAAAAAAGGGGTTGAAATTCGATTGTTAGTTTTAAGACAGCATAGACAACACAAATATGAGTAAAAACATTATTAAATACCTACTATTTCCTATTTACGAATTATTTATATACATTACACTTTAATTTTTTTGCTTTCTATATATTTATATTTACATAAAAATCTACAATATGGACTAAACACAAACATTTAACACTTAAAGGACGGGGGACTTTAGGGGGAAGAACGTCATAGAGAGGATAGGTTAGTTTGGGACAATTAAATAGATTGTGAGATACAGTGCCTTCATCGTTAAATTATTTAGTAATTGATATAACATTCGTGACTTGACACACCTCAAAACATCAACATAAATCAGAACCCGTCAAGTGAGAAACGACTTATGATTTCTGTCATAAAATTAAATAATCATCGCATTAAATAAACGCGATTTACTTTATTTTAACACTAATTAAAGAAATTGCTTTGTAAACTTAGATTATCACATTAGTGTTGCGTGCGAGAATTAAAACAAGAGAATTAACTTTGCATTCGTTGTTACATCGAGTGACCTTTTCTACCCTCGTCTCATTTGCATAACTTATTCTACAGGCTCCCTGTTCTTTTTTATATGGCGTTATACAGAACAGTATTGGCTTAGTGCTAAAGTTTGCGACTTTCAATCCTGAGGTCGTCATTTTAAATCAGATGCAGGTTTCTCTCTATGTGCGTAATGAACGTGAGCTCGTACGGTGAAGGAAAACGTGAGGAAATCAGCATGTCTTAGACCACGCTTTGTATGATGGTTTTTTATATTATTAGAACTTTACATATCCTTGTTATCCGCTTGCCATAAAGACAAGATCATAGCTACAACCCTATCATTTATCATAGACTATACAAATAGATACTAATTTATACAGCTTCTGTGTCAAGTGTTAATATATTATTAGGTCAGCGACTTTAAGCATCTTATGAAACCTAACCAAATACACGTTGATTACATACAAAAAACGTAGTTTCCGATTGCTAAAACGCTGCACTTATAATATTTATATTTATTTATTTTAAATACTTTATTACCTTATTCAAAAACATACACATAAAAAAATATAAAAAAGCAGGTTACAAAAGTTATAAGGCAACGGGCGGCCTTATCGCTAACAAGCCATTTCTTCCAGGCAACCCTAATGTGGAACAATGAAAAAGAAACACCAACAGAGGGTAGAGTACATGAAATGCAAAAATAAATAACACAAAAAAAAACTCAAAAAAAACACGTAACGATAACTAAAATTAAAATAAAGTAAAATCTAAAGAAAATATGTATAAACAAAAATTTAAAAGCCTATCAAAAGGTTAACTGAGTCACAATATTTAATATATATAGGCAGAGCTAATTATGAGGCAGAAAGAAAATGATCAAAAAGAAGCTTTTTAAATAAATTTAAAAACTGAGCTCGTCTAATATCAATTGGTAGGGAATTCTCCATAGCAAGATACTTTGCAATTATCAATACTCAAGATGTAAGCGTAATTAAGCGTATATTACTTATAAGATACGAATCTCGTTCCTACTGATCAGAATCAGTATTATTGAAATTAACACAAATTGAACGTATTTTATTATCTAAAATTGATAATTAGGCATCATTAGCGCATCAATAAACGTTTATGAAGGCTGGTTAATGTACGTATAATCCATTACATCCGTACCATTCTATAGAATTAGCAACATTGAGAAAACGATTGATCATAATGGGATCAAATAAGTACAAAGCACACTATCAGTTACGGTTTTACGAGGGCCGGATATCTACATGAATCTAACATCTGTCCGGAATTCATAGGGAATTATTTAACACGTTTTTACTTTGATATTCACCGAGCTGAAATAATTAATACAGGATATGGGTATTAATTGATACATTTCAAAAATCAAAATTCGAATTCGTGGGATTCTTATTGTGTATTGTATTTATGATTTTATGTTTAAATAGAAAATTATACTTCCGGTTTCAACTTGGATAATATGTCAATTCCTGGATTGTCTGGAAACTGTTCTAAGTAAGACTGCCTTTATGAAGCATATTCTGGCCAATTTATTACCTATTTTTGTGATGTAAAATATTATTATATTTACAGAAATTAACGCAAATAATTTTCACAGTATATTGTGGTTCCTTTACCGATCTGTAAAGGTATAAAATGGCCGTCCATAACATTCCGAAACTCCAAACCTCCAACCTATTTCATAAGCCTATTCTATTGTAGCCTTTAAAATTAGGTATTTTTCTTTCATAAAGACGAGTCCATCGTAACTTTATTTTGACATATTTGAGTTAATATCTTATTACTATAAACTGTGCAATTATAATGATTTAGTTTCATGGATTAGTATCTAAACTATAAATATTGCAGTCACATATCAGCAAATACCAACTGACTAAAAGTAACCCAAATAAAAGCTACAAATTTAATAGTAACAAAACAATGGATGTCAACAGGACATAAATATTGGCTAATAGTCAGGAACTCGGAACTACGATATTGATACTCCCCCGAAATTTGTCAGTGCTTTGTGAGCCTTTCCGGCGTAATCGCTCAACAAATGGACTAGCAAAAACTAACGGATTGTTTGGGAACGCGTAAAAGGAATTCCAGGTAGAGGGTTTAAAATCATACTGTAAACACATGATTCGGAATCATTTATCCCGTATTCATTATGTTGAAAACTGTATTCACTTTTGCGATTCTATAATTAAAGTTTCATAACGCAATGTTTGTTCTATAGATGTTTTGGGAACCTTTGAACTATTAAAAGCACCTACTATTTTAGAGATTAAACGTTTAATGAATTAAAAAGGATTGCGTACCATCATCATGGCATTTTTGTATAAATTATCTTGCTTGTGCGTTCTCAGGCATTTAATCTACATAATATATTATTCTACTTGCAATAATCTATTGCCTACTGTCTTTATCATCCAATAATTCTCCATGTATACCGGCCCAGGACCTTGCATCCATCGCTCAGAACAGGTTTCCAATACTCTCCTTTGGAAACCGGTAAAAATCAACGAACAATAATTACGCCAGACTCGCCACTTTACAATCTTTAACATAGATAAGGTGTGTTAAAATCTGACTCATTCATAGATATAATTACCTAGTAAAGCCAGGTACTTCATAATTTGGTTATGGTGTAAAAAACGTAAACAATAGAGCTCTGTAAGATTAGGCTATTATTCTGCGCAACTACTTTTTTAAACCTGTGAGGTGCGAGAAAATGAGTCATTGACAGAAATCCCATTAGAAATACAAATTTAATAAGCAATTTCCTCGAACAATACATGTCAATTCCATATTTTACTGCCTACTTTATAGCCCTGTCGTGAAAAGTCCTAACAACCTCAGCTTCTATGAAATGGGCATGTAAAATATTACCATCCGTTAGAAAGGCGGTAAATCATACTGACCGCTTTCAAACCTAGGTTGTGTTACATTGTAGAAAACCTAAAGATCCATTGTAGTAAAAAGCTATTACCGTCAGGCAAATTATTAGGAACAACGTATTGTCGTTTGGAAAACAAAGAAAGCTTACGGCTGCTAAATACGTAACCACCAAGAAAGTAACGAAGAACCTGTTACGAGCCTTAACAGGTATGGAGAAAGTCGAAAACTTTATTTGTATGGAAATGACAGTTCGTGTCGAAAAGTTTTAAAAAAAATTTTGTTTTTGACGTTCTACATACACTACTGTTAAGGCATCTTGACTAAGGGGCCCCTGTTACGAGCAGGTATAATTTTGGGTTTCAGCGCTCATGTGTAATTATGATTGATATTTTAATGTTCTACATAAATTTTAAGCTCCAACGTATTGGCATTTTACTTGTAATTTTCTTAAGTTATTATTAAAACTGCAGGTGACGAAATAAAATTCTATCGATTTTAGTGAAATGGGTATAATGAGAACCATGGTTTTTATTTTTGTCAACTAAGTAGCTTTAAAAGATTCAAATAAATAATAACTTATTTTATAAAAAATACTACTGTCGTTCTGTTTTAAATATTTAACTAGATAATAAGTGAAGAATATTATGGAATAGTACTAGCTTGTACTGAGATCATTCTATATTTATGCGTTACGTTAAATTATATTTCGTGACAGTTAAATGGAATCGCTAACATATCGTCTTTAAATCCCTCATGGAGATTGAAAACTATATCCTATTCGTGTTAAAACGAATCGTATAACTAATTAATGCCCCGAGCAGCCAAAGCAGGCTGTGCGATTTATCGTAAATCCCAATTTAAAGCTGAGAGGCACGCGATTACAATCTTCTCACGACAGGGAAGGCGCGCGAAGTTCTCATCTCCGGGGAAATCACGCACGCAACAAATTTTATAACAACTCGTATGCCTGAAGCGTCCAAGACGCTGAACACGAAGACTAGTTCGAAAAGAAAAAACAAGGCGCGAGCAGTGCCTCTACGCGGCCTCGTTTCATTCAAACTTTTTACCGCCACACACTGAAAATCACAAACACAGCCGCAAGAGACACTGCCACACCGAATTAACACTGACCGTTGTGGAGTACGGCTGAAGGCTCAAGCGAATCCCATCTTGAGCTAGACGCTCACGTAGCAGCCTCTTCAACTGGATACGTGGAATTTTTACTAACTCCGCTTTACCCTCTTCATACTCGTCGGCATATTTTGCCGGTTCAACGGCTGCCACCGCTTGTTCTTTGCGGACTTCTTCTTCACATCTGCAGTCTCGAGAAGCAGCGGCTTCCTCCAGGGTAAAGTACACAGCCGCTGCACCTTCTTCTCTCAAAGTTCTTACAGAGTGCAACAATCTTTGACGATGTGCCGGGTTAAGAACTCCGATCGCGTCTAGATCGGGTTCCCCGACCTGTTTACATATTTCTAAGTCATCATAACCGTTATCAATGAAACTTTCCGCATATTGGCCCAGGTGGAGCGATCGCAACCACTCGATGACGATATTGCCGTTCGTAGACGAGGCCATGTCGCGTCAAAGCGCGCGGCGCATTACAAGGCGTACTCGCGGCGCGGCAGACAGCGAGAAACTGGCGGCCACGCTCCCCTAATCCCCCCTCGCCCCGCAGTAAGCCGCGGTCGCCGCCCCTAGACCTACGTGCTTTTGCTTTTTGACATTTTGTAGCATAATCGTTTCGTTTAGCGTTCTTATAGGTGCCTATGTATAACAATGTCAAACAATAGCTCTACCTTTGAAATGGCATCTTGAAGAAAAATTTTGCTCAGTAAGCACAGTGATTAAACTGATCAAGGGAGTAAACCGTGTATATTTTCTATATTAATATTAACACTGTCAATAAAAATGAAATTAAAACAGTTGAATTCTACGAAAATCATTGGAGACATCCCTTAAAATATAAGCTATAAACTACCGCAAAATGTATAATATGTTTAAAGAATGAAAATCAGTAGTCCCGGTTTTCCCATGCATGTAACATGTTTTGTTTGCTTAGTACGACAGTTAATTACCCACAAACGGGAAAACGGTGCAAAGTTTACTTTTCCTAAAGCTGTTACTCATTAAACTTCTTGAACCTGTTTTATCTCATTTTGGTAACTGAAACTACGAGTGTTGAGGTTTATTTGAGCGTACATAACTTTCCTCTCACCATAGTTTTTTAAGCTTTAATTTATTTCCTGATACACTTATTATCTAATTATCCTTTCTGTTAGTAAATATATTTTTAAGTTAGTAGATCAGTAACCTTCTCCGGTAAAGGCCTCCTCCAAGGCTTGCAATCTTCTCCCGAGCTATTTGGATCCATTGGGGACATCATCCCATCGAGCGTATGGTCTGCCTCTGTAACGCTTGTCTGGTGGACCTCTCCATGTAGTTACTGTATTCGTCCACCTGTGATCTGTGAGGTGCGCTACATGACCAGCCCACTTCCACTTAAATGTTTTTGCGTGGCTTAGAGCATCACTTGCTTTCGTCTCTGATCTTATTTTTAAGTGTCTTATCTTATGTACTTAATGTTTAGCATGCTCCTTTCCGTGCCTCGTTGACATGTAATTATATTGTTTTTTGTTTTATTTGTAAATTTCCATCTCAATATAATCCTTTTTTTTTTTAATTCTCGATTTCATCTCACGAAACTCAGACTATATTTATAAATGGTTTCGTATCTTAAGAAATTGATTTGTCAAGTATTTAAAGCTTTGTAATAAATTTTTTACACCTTTTTAAACTTGGATTAAGTTTGAATTTGGAATTTAGAATACGCATCCCAATTTCAATGTAGTACACTTTATATTTAAATCGGACTCGCTTTTGCGATTATGAGCCTTTATTTACAGTTATAATAAAACTAATTTAAATTAACTCATGCGGTAAAGCCTCCCTTGCCTTCTTATATTATTATTCTTCATCTTATCAGTTCTTTCTGCAAGTCATCCTATCATTTGCTTTTTTTCTTTTGGGTAAGATGTGCATCCTTAACGATATATCTGTATTTGTTTCAGAGCCACGTTGATGTTTCGTGCGACTCTGATCTTTCGGTCTTAGCTTCGAACCCCGGCTGTGCACCAATGCCCCAATGGTCTGCAACAGTAAGTTTGCTGACCAACAGTTACAGCCCCGACCTATTAGCTGTAGTGGCACTTTTTTAATATAATATTTTTATTATGCAAATGAAAAGGATGCAAGCGTTGAGTGGCATGACCTGTACATCGCAGTTCCACGGCCCGTAACTATGTTGGCCTACTTACACAGGGATCACTTAATTATCACAGTCTACATACACTGAAATCTTGCATTTTTAATCTGCTTTTAAATGTGTTGGCTACGTGAGTAATGTTAGGTTAAACTGCGACTCATTATTGCATATATGGTCAGGAAAATGTTTTGAAATCCGTAGTCGTAAAATATTGGGACATTAGATGTCAATTTTTATTGACAGATGTGCAATAACTGTTGTATAAAAATGCATTACCTACGGCTATTTAATGTATATAGTATATAACTAATAAAAACGAAGCATTTGGACTGATTTTCTTGATCAAAAAACAGAACACAAGACGATCCTAAAGTCGTCAACAATATTTATCCAAATTCCATTTACTCTGAGCTCTTGATTGACAAAATTATTATTATTGTTTTTTTTATATGTATTTGTAAATTGCATGTTTGTATTTTTTTAAATCTAGTTTCTTTTTTACTTTTAATGTTGAAGTTATTTTCTCTTCATCATTGTAATGTTTCCCTTTAAATGTTGTGCACACTTGTTATTGATGCACATCCATGTATCTTGTTTTCTATGTTATGTGTTCTCTGTAAGTGTTTGTATGTGTTTCGTTAGTGTGCCTTTTAAAATAAAATAAAATAAAATTAATTTTCATACTACATACATCCACCGTTAGGGGTGCACCTGCGTTTGAATCCCGGAGAAACATAATTTTAATTATTTTCACCAATCTATAAACCAGATGCATAAAGAAATATGCCTGTGATGACATGTCGTGACATCGTCTTCTTATTTATGATATCCGAACTGTCATATGATTCAATACTGAAATAAAAGAAAAGAAATCCAAAGCTCCACCTAGAAGCTCCTCCAAAATCATCGTAAACATACACTGCCAGCAGTAAAACCGCTAGTAACAAAGCGACTTTTAAGCCTCAACAGAAATAATCTCAATATAATAGCCATGGCGCTACAGACAGTCCCCTGTGCAGAGACTGTTTCAGCGCAGAGGTCACCCACGTAGTCCTGGAATGCGTGACTGTGACTAACAAAGAGCAGTGACATGGCTCCCTGCGAAGTGCCTAAGACGCTTCTGAGCTTCTGGAAGGAGCTAGGCTAAGGTGCGTCCAAGAATTACGTAACAAATTTGGGTGAGGGGGGTCCTTTTGTAAAACGTTACGATGCGGGGCGAGGATTGAATTATGCGTTATTGTTAATATTATTTTCGACTTTCCAGTACTTAACACCACATAATGGTAACTTTTAGATATAAAGAGTCACTGGGTGGTCACGAAACGTTTGTGCTATTGGGTACAGAAAAACGTTACGGTGCGTTACACGGGGGGGTTTCAATAATCTCCAAAAATTGCGTGACGTAATACTCGAACGCTCCCCTAGCTAAAACCAGGACTTAAAGCACAACGGACCGAATGGGCGTCTATGTGAGGCAACTAAGTTCACACTACACACACTACGGCACTAAAAAGCAATTTACATTGTTATTTATTTTGAAGTAAATATAAAAGTAATATAACGTCAAACAAAATGAGGTTTCTTAATATTCTCTCAAAAGTAGGCCAAATAATCTAGCCTATCTCAGATAGCGAAATGTCGTGATAACCTCAGAACCTTATCATTTCGTTTAGTCGTAACTAAATGGAATTGCTTGAAATTCTTACATCGATTCATATTATTCCGATTGTTTGTATAACATTCCCAGTTGGAGTTTGTATAAGGCAATTACAAATTTATTGATATTGTATATTAAATGTCGCAATTTTTGAGAATTAGGACACATATTGTTGTAACTAATGAAGAATTTTCTGTACTCGACACCATCAATTTCGAATTCTTAGTCATATTACCAGTATTAAGGCCCTATCTCAGCACGAATTGCTGTGTCAGTGTCTCGGAGTGGACTGCGGTGCGCAGTGGAGAGCTAGAGCACTGAGGCGCGCCGGCCCGTAATAACAATTACATAGTTATGTAAAACATTAAATTAATGTATTTTATCAATTTTTTTTCTTGGCTTGCATATATCGTGTAAATTTCGAAATCATGTTCTATATACATTTTCGTCATAAAATGAACTCAAAGTCTCAAAAATTCTATTTTTGGATTTTTTTCTATCGAGCGAAGTTATGTAAATCATGTATCGATCTTTCAAAATGGATACATAAACTACTTAACTACACCATATATTTTTTCCATTCGCCCTACTTCAAGAAACGATGACGAAAAATGGAAAGAAACAATGTACTTTTTTGGAGTTTGGCGACCGGATAGGTCCTTAAGTAGAAAAATCGACTTGGCAATAGAACGAGTAAAGGTCGTAAGTTTTAATAAATAAAACAACTCACATAAGAATACTTAGACCACTTTAATGTATTATCGATGTAATCTGTAACCATAGGTAAATGTTATAAATTTTTAGGACACTAGCTTCATCCGCATTGATTTCGTGTATTTGGCACCTTTCAGATCTAACGAAGGTTCTTAATCATAATTCAGTGGAAACCGTATAAATTTGTTCGATAGATTTTAAGCGTTTAAAAAGACTGAGAGACGCGTCTTTGTGACGTTCATGTGGGGATTACAATTACTTTTTGCACATACAAAAAAAAAGTATATCCTTAGATATTCTTTATCAATTATTTCTTTCGATAAAAGCTTTATCTGTCGTATTCTAATAAGAACTTATTGGACAAGAACTAACATAACATATGTATATGAATGAGGACCTTAAGGCCTGCCTACGCACTCGCCAGTCGTCTAGATGTCCTTGGGCAGCACTTAACCTCAAAACCCCAAATGTACCAAATAAACGTTGTGTTCTATCGGTTATGAAGCGCCTCAAATCTTTCTCTCAATATTTTCTTTTACGCGTACATATATGTCACAGCTCCAAAAAGGTGTTACAGTTCAATCAAGCATAAACATTCATATACCAACGGAGCTGTTAATGCAAATATAAGTACGGTCAAGTCCATTTCCACTGAATGTTGAACGATATCAACAAATCTTCCAAAGAAACTATTCGGGAAGCACAATATTTCGTTTTATGTTCAATTTCCATACGCGGTGAGCGTGAAATACTTAATGGTGCGAAAGATTGCGACTTGGCCCACGAAAAGATTTTTAAAATTTCGTCAAGTTATGTTTTCGGCCGATTACGTATACGTACAGAGATATCGACTAACTCAGTGGTTTAGTTTTCATATTTGACTGCAGATCAAAGCCTCATCACGACCTTTATGATATTTCCGGCGCTACAACCTCTTTAGGT